GCTACTAACGCCCAGGTTCGGGGCAGGTTGCCCCCTCAGGAAGCACGGGGGGATGTCTGTTTCCAACAACCAGCTCCACAGGCTGAGAACGAGTCACTGTGCACAGAATCTGAAGGAGGAGTCACTGCTCTGTTGACACTACTCCCAGCTTCTCACGCAGCTCAGAACAACAGGTGTCTGTTGAAAAAGAGATGAGCCTCATGTTTCCTGAGAAGGAAACCAGTCACCAAATGCAGCAGTGTGGCTCCCTGAAGTGGGTTTAATGGTTTAGTTGGCTGTTTCTGTGAAGCCCTGAGTCGATCTATAACCAGGCACCGCTCTGCCACTCATCACTATGATCCGTGGGTCGCACTGTTGTGCTCGGCCTACGCTGTGGAAATGCAGGGTGATGAATGTGATCAGAAACACAGTAGAAGACAGAGAGAGTGATGTGCAGGAGCTGTGTGGGAGGAGGGAAGTGCCTTCCTTTTCTTCAGCAAGCCCCGGTTCCTTCGGGAGGGAGGGAGATTACAGGCTGTTTGGGGTCTGCCTTTGTGTTGTGCTTCTAGATTCTCACGAGCCTTTGCTGACTCAGGCTGTTAGCTGGATGCAGCTTTTCATCCCCAGCTATCCCAGGTCATCAAAAATAATCACAACACATTAATAAGCTTGTTTTGGAAGTAAAATGTTGATCCGTAAAGAAACCTGTAGCTACAGTTCTCACACCTGACTCGCTCTGCCTGGTCATGATGCTGGGTAGAACCTGCAGGTAACTAAGGCGTCCGGTCAGAGTAGAGCTGTGACCCAGGTGGAATTTTTCCATATTATGTTCCACTAATAGAGTATTCATTACTCACTGGCCACAGTTGAGCTGTTGAATCAATGAGACCTATGCTGTGGTAACAAGCCAGAGCCAAAGAAAACTCCTTGTCTTTAAATCTGAGATCGTGGCGCCACAACCTGTGTCAGTATGTTGCAATGGGTTTAGTTCACCTTCCTTTCTTTTAAATGTTAAGGCCCTGAATCTAAGTGTCCTGTGTCTCCTGTGCTCTCTCCCCAGATTGAGGACATGCAGTGGCCCCGGGGCGAGCAGGAGATCCCCAGCTCTGTCTGCAGCCTTCCCTGTAAAACGGGCGAGAGGAAGAAGGTGGTGAAAGGCATGCCGTGCTGCTGGCACTGCGAGCCCTGCGACGGCTACCAGTACCAGTACGATGAGTTCACCTGCAAACTCTGCTCCTACAACATGAGGCCGAGTGCCAACCGCACATCCTGCCAGGCCATACCCATCATAAAGCTGGAGTGGCACTCTCCCTGGGCAGTGATTCCGGTTTTCCTGGCGATGCTTGGGATCATCGCTACCATCTTTGTCATGGCTACGTTCATACGCTACAATGACACACCGATTGTCCGGGCGTCCGGCAGGGAGGTGAGCTACGTCCTCCTGACTGGGATATTTCTGTGCTATATCATCACGTTCCTCATGATTGCCAAGCCAGATGTTGGTGTATGCTCCTTCAGAAGGATTTTCCTGGGTCTGGGAATGTGCATCAGCTACGCCGCCCTCCTCACCAAAACCAACCGTATCTACCGAATCTTCGAGCAGGGGAAGAAGTCGGTAACGGCGCCCAGGCTGATCAGCCCCACGTCCCAACTGGCTATCACCTCCAGCCTCATCTCGGTCCAGCTGCTGGGGGTGTTAATCTGGTTCGGGGTGGATCCGCCCAACACCATCATAGACTACGACGAGCAGAAGACCATCAACCCGGATCTGGCACGGGGGGTGTTGAAATGTGACATCACAGATCTTCAGATTATCTGCTCACTTGGCTACAGCATCTTACTGATGGTGACCTGTACTGTTTACGCCATAAAGACCCGCGGAGTCCCTGAGAATTTTAATGAGGCCAAGCCCATCGGCTTCACCATGTACACCACCTGCATCGTATGGTTGGCTTTCATACCCATCTTCTTTGGCACGTCTCAGTCTGCAGAGAAGGTAAGACCCAGTGGGTGAAACTGGAGAAACAAATGGATGATGGATGTTGAGTGGGTGAAGCGCAGAGTGTTTGGATGGATGGATGACTTGTGTCATGTGCAGTTTTTCTCGTTTGTGTTGAGGCACTGTTTGAAACAAGCACAGGTCTGAGAAAACTGTTGAAACAGTGTCTCTATGCTAAGGCAACAGTTTACATTGTGTTTAGGTGAGAGTAACAGTGGTGTGAACATGAGTCTTTGTGGTTGTGTCTTCTCGCCACATCACGTTTTCTTGGTTTAACATCCAAGTTACAGTTTAAAGGTGCTGCTCCACGTGTCGTTCTACAGTATATACATAACAACAGTATCTTCACGAAGAGCAGGGTCAAGCCATGCTACTGCACAGTATGTGCACCAGAACCAGATCTGGACTTTAGCCCAGTGAACTTACAGACTCACTCTGTTCCTGGCAGTAAATAGTCGTGGAGCAGCTACAGGTTCTCCAGCACAGGGCATGTTGGTCTCTCCATAGTACGCTACGTCTGTGTGGACTCCACAGCTACATGATGTGACGCACGCTGTTTAGGTTCAAGGCTCAGTGCTCATGAAGACTGAGACAGGTGCAGAAATAACAGGAGGAAATCTAAAAGGAGATATTACAGTTGTCTAACTCTTCATACAGTACTGTCCAAATAAGATCAGGTTGGTGTCTAAAAAGAAAAGCACTGTAAACATCATAACAGACAGCAAAAGAACAGGTCGGGGCTGCAGCCGTTTAGTGGAGATACACGAGTGGATGTTTCCATCTGCTCGCATTCCACCTGCTTTCACGTCCTGACACACTCTTTGTTTCACAGACATTACAAATGGCCAACAAATCACAATGTAGCAGAAATCTGTGTCAAGTGGAGCATTACTGCATTATTCATAATGATGATGCACGCATGACTATAGCTGTTGTGTCCCACTTTATCAGTCTGATCCGCCACTGGAAAATAATCTCATTTGTGCAGAGAGACAAGGCTTTTATATGAAACTCGATGTGCCACATTTTGCAATGAAATGAAAAAAGGAAGATAAAGCAGATATAAAACAGGCAGTTATAATGTTCTTGTTTTGTTTTACAAGTGCAAGAATCCAGATGAGATCGCATTGCGATATTGCCGGTGAAATACTGCATTGAGAGAGTGACTGGGTTTGTTGGAACCTCAGGCGTTGTTTGTTCTCGTCAGCTACTTGGACCTGATGAAGCAATTACGTTGTGGAAATGTATTAAAGGACGACAGCTGCCGTCCCCAGGTGTTCGCTGTGTTGGCGTAGGTGGTTAAACTCCTCAGAGAGTCTGTTTTCTTGTTGTGGTTGGGTTACAAACACTGCCAGAAGCTAACAGGATTACCTCATTGTAACTAAACACCTCGGACCCAAGCAGAGTCCTGTTCTGATGTGGGGAAAGTTTTAGGATGTATCAAAAGTTTGAAAGGTCTTTATTTGATTACGTGACCTTTACGTCTTATCGCAGCTTCATGAAGCGAAACACACTGAGCCTCTACATTTAGGCCTCAGTGTGTTGTGGAGTGCAGCCGGCAGAGCAGCATTAATGAGCTTTAGGAAAAGCCCATCATGCACTGCAGGGCTAAGTAATGATCACGGCAGCTTGGCTGAACTGGTTTGTGCCCCGGCACCTCCAACTTCTGTGTTAAAGCCCTGCGACCTTCCCTTTATAGGCTTTTATTGTGAAAAACATCAAGAAGAGATTTGTAGCTTAGCATCAAAGTTTTTAGCAGACCGATGCGTCTGACATGAGTTTGCTGCTGTGCTGATGACTGTTGTGAGAATACCTGGTCTGACGGTACCGGACCCCCAACACCTAACCCAGGGCCGTTCTGGGGAAGCGTCCGATTAGCTTTTCACCACGTCACCATAAGATGATGATGCCCTATAGCCTGTATTTCAGCAAACAGTTTTTTAACGGTTTAACTGATGGTATTGATTGGTTGGAATTCTTCTTGTCGGTTAATGATTAAATGGTTACGGCTGTGCATCCCTCATCTATACATAAAGTGCTAACTCATACAATAAGTTCCTTCTGGATGAGCTTCTGTGATGCACTTGTTCCAAATGAGGAACTTTGCCACTCCTGTATGTCTAATGCAGCAGTAACTGATTAAAGCAGCATGTAAAAAGTGTAGCGTATGTGCAAAGTGACTACACAGCAGTGTGCTGGTGGTTTGTCAAAGCAGAGGAAGTTCTCCACAGTGCTCACTGCCTGCTGCTGCACTGACTGTGTCGAGTCAGGCCTGTGACAGACGGTGCCAGTCCAGTCTTTCTTAATGCCACAGTTGACTTCTGCATTACAAGCAGTCCACTTAAATTGCATTCTGATTAAGCATAAATGTCCATCTGTGTGACTCAATGTTTACATCTCTTGGTTTTGTTTGTAAAAAGTCACCAGTGTCTGCACCAAATGAACTGAGCTACAGTTTCCCGCTGCCCTGCTCTGCTCGCCTCAGCCACTGTGTTTCTGTCTGAGCAGCCCCCTGATGTCAGCTGCAGGAGGTGGTTGGTAGAAAGAACACAGAGCAGTCTGAGGCAGAGAAAAGTAGATGACCACAGTTATAGCAGCTTCAAACGCTGCCAACGTTAATGCAGGACCACCAGATGTTAGAAAATACAGCCGTATTAAAATCACAGTCTGAATCAAAGATGAAACATGAGCTGCATCAAGAAGCAGAATAAACACTTTACTGTAGGAAAAATCAATGTTCTGCTTCAGCTGTTTGGCTTTCTTAATTAGTGGGTCACATTAATGAGATAAGGCAACGCTGTTTATCTGGCACTGAGGAGGAGATGGTTGTGTAATGTACAAGGATCATTAAAGACTTTGCAGAGCGCAGAGAAAGCACAGAGGGACGAGCGATCTGTGAGGAAGACGGAGATAAAACAGGAAAGTCCAGGCTGATCTGCAGTGCAGTAAACTGGAGGACTGGGAGAGAAAGAAGGAACGCAGAGTGATCTGTGGTTGGAGGGGGGAGAGACTGACAGGGAGAGGAAGAGAAGCAGAGAAACCAACAGAGTGCAGGAGAGATACACATAGATTTGTCAGAGCCGTGTTCACATGGCTCCTGGGCTTCTGACCTTCAGCCCTGCAGAGCTGCAGACTGAGGGTCACGTGGAGGGTCAGGCTGCATCGTCACAACAGAGGGATCGTCTTGATTCGTGTTTGTCATGTCAGTTTGCAACGAGTACCAAAACAGACTCCCATTTCACAGAGGTGAAGAGAAATGACTGACACAACATGGAAGAAAGAGACGGAGGATGCAGTCAGTGGGTTCAAGAGGAAGAACAACACACAAGCAGGGGGAAGGAAACAGAGGCACTAATATCCTCCCACACAACACAAGTAACTGACGCTGATGAGTGAGCCCATGGCGAGAGGCCACACACAGGAGCATGCACAACAGACACACACAGGCGAGAAAAGGCTTAGTTAGTGTGGGCCTGCTACAGCGTTGTGTTTAATATCATAAGAGGAAAGATGAGACAAAACACTGAGATCTGCTCCATCTAGCGCTACGTGGTTGGTGCTGAGTCGCACAGCTGCCATCGTCACTAACAACAGGTACAAACGCAGAGTAACACTGATCCCAGAGCGCCACACTGGGACAGATGTGTGGTGGCCTTACACAGCTGTAAACATACTCTAAGACTTGACACTTGAGGCATTACCTCCACCGAGGACAGTTGTTATGTTGTTGCCAGTGTTTGTTGGTTTGTTGGTTTGTGATTGTTTGTTAACCCCGGCGACCCTCACTGGGATAAACGGTACAGGTAATGGATGGATGGACTTAAACAGTCACTGTTGACCGTGCTTTGAAACCCCCCTCCCCCGCTGGAGGGTTAACTAATGTCCAGCATCAACCAAAGTTAGCAACACAGCGTGTTTATTTTGTGTCAACAAAACATGGGGGAGGGCGGTGACTCCAGAGAGTCTTCAGCCTTCACGTGTGGTCACATTGTGGCGTGAATAACAGAGCTGAAGGAAATCTGACTGAAGTTGCCGGGGGTGACACTTCACAGCAGTTGTAGATGAGGACAAGCATACTTTGTGTTGCATTACAGAAGCTTTGCTCATTGGGTTAATGCTTTGCTTTGACAGGTCATGTTCTGTTTTACGTTCTGCTAAATCAAATCTAGCAGATGAAGTTGTAAAAAGGATGGTGTGAATGTGGTGTTTGCTTCTTGCTCTTGGCGTTCTGATGGTTCCATTTATCCTGATTTGTCCTCTGCACAGGTTGAGGTTGGCTGGATCTATGCTGGAGGTCACATGAGGTCAGTAAACACAGTGTCCTGCCCTGAAGCTACAGGCACGATTGTGACACTCTTATTGAGGAGGAGCTGTGGAGGAAGAGATGTGGATTTAGTGGCGTGTTGCTCTGGGCACCTGTAAATCCTGCTACACAGTTGCTGCTAGAGGCAGAAATGCTAAGCGCGCTGGAGGAAAGTCTGAAAGTCAGAGGGAAAGTTCCAGAGAGGCTTTCCCACAAATCCAGTCTACCTCGATAATCGTCCGTGGAGGGGTTCATCCCAACCATCACTTGCTCCCACACCCACGCTCGGAGAGAAGGAGCCAGTCAGACCAGTACTGCAGTCTCTGCACTGTGCACGACCACGATCAGGCCAGAATGTTCCAGCAGTGCAGTGTCCTTTCCTCAGATCTGTTACATTTTTCACATCTGCTCAAAGGAGTGAAGTAGCCGCAGCCAGATGAGCCCTCGTGGCTACGTGACGTGTGATGGAGGGTCAGGGTTCACACACAGACTAAACACACTGCCCCCTAAATTATTATCCAATAGTAATTTAGGGTGTAGTTAGTGTGATTTTCAGACGCTCCCTTTTCCTGCTTTCCAGACAACAGACGACTGGCTGAGTCACAGATCGAGAGTTATCCTAATGAGCTACATATGAAAATCACCAGCCAGAGAGCTGCCGAACGTCAGGCCGGCACCTCGTGTTGTCACTTGC